CCCACCTCCGGACAAAGGGACATTGAAAGTCAGACTGTCCCAGACCTCTGGGAGTGGGGCCAAGTGTTCCAGTCTCAAGGCCGACACTGATCTGTCCTTCCCCAGTCTGCTGGAAACACCTACTGAGGACGACTGACTGGCTAGGCCCAAGTTCTGAGGCCCCTGTGACCTCCATCACCACAACAGAACCCAGGGTTTGTCTCATAGTAGCAGGTAAGCCAATCTCTTTTCTTCTAGATACAGGCTCCATTTAGTTGGCTTTATAAGAACACACGGGCATTTTAGACCTCTTCTCTGTTGCTATTATGGGGGTTGATGGCCTTATCTCCAAACCACCCTGTATCAAACCTCTGCTTTACACCTTAAAAGCAACCATTTTTGCACATTCCTTTCTAGCACTCCTAACCTGTCCAGCCCCATAAATGGGATGAGATATACTTTCAAATATACATCTTATCATTGCCAGTCCATCTTAGCTACTCTTCTTCTTAGCCCACACCCCTCCTCACCACAGATGACACAAACTTTACCTCCATTATACCCCAAAAAGTCAATCCCATCAGGTGAGACACTAAATCCCCTCAGCTGCTTCTCATCACACTCCTATCAAGATTACCTCAAAGACCCCACCTCCCTCCCCAATGAGATACAATATCCCTTAGACTGTGAGCCAACACACAAAGAATTCTCTACTACTCTATTACCTTATTCTGGTCCTCCTTAGAGACTACCAACAGGAGATGTCCTAGACTTTTCTCCTGATAGCCTCTCAAGCTGACTAGAGGCCCCTTTATACCACTGGGGCTCAATTCATCTCTCCTCCAAACTCGCCATGATGTACACAAGCTTCATAACACCCTCTTTTTTTCTCCATAACACTGGCCCTTATAAAAAGATTTACTTCTAGCCCAACATCTAGAACACTCCTTCCATCTTACCTTCCAGCTTTTAAACAGGACAAATCCCTCTCTGGTCCAAGATGGCTTGCTGTGCCTGTCTCTGTCTTCAACTTATATGGCAGTCTCCACCCCCCAGTTTGCCTAGAGAAACACCCACACACAACTTGATCTGCAAAAAGGCCTAGGCCGGCCCTTCAAAGGTCAAGCCAATACCCTCCTTAAGTCTTACCCAAGAGCCGTGGCACACAGGCCTATCAAACTCTTTCAGACACACTCCACTTGTTCCTCTAAATTCCCTACAATTACCCACCCAATTACTGGATCCATAACCCTGGATACCAAAGACCCCTGCAGTTAAGCAGTATTATGGTCCCCTGCACTGGACACTTCCGTCATACACCCAGTCCTCTTGTACTTTTAACATGAGCCAACACCGGACAGTCCCTTTAAGGGAAACACTTCTTGATGCAAACAGCCCATTCCCATGAGGAGTCCCTGAGACTATGAAACTCACGGGATCAATTATAAAATCTCACCTCAGGCAAACAGAAAGTTCACCCAGTCTGTTCATTTCTCTCGACCACCTACAATCTCAACCTTTTCCCCAGGCCTAGCTATTCACAAGCCCTCTGGACTATTTCCATGAGATCTCATTAGTATCTCATCCCCCAGTGACTCTGTATTAATAGAACCGATAATAGGGGCTTCCTTAGCCAGTGCCATATTGGTCTGGGAAAGCGAACCCAATCCTTCAGCTCCATGGTGGCTGATACTTTACAACACCTTCTCACAACTTGCCTGTTCCAAATAGGAATCTTTTCCCTTTGTAGCCAACAATCCTTCCTGTGCCTACCCCACTAACTAGACAGGAACATGTACCTTAGCCTGTTTGTGCCCCAATATCAATGGAGCCTCCACCAACCAATGCTTCCCCATCCCCATCACTGACTACATCCACTAAAAACGGGCAGACCCTCAACCCCCCCTCGAAGAACATTAGAGACACCCACAGAAGGAGCCCCCGGGGTGGAAAACCTGACCACTTCTCTCACCTTCTACCAAAATTTATCACAGGACTTACAGGAAAGCCTCAATAAAATCTCGCAATTCCTAATCAAAATCCAGAACCAGTGGGACCATTCATGTTCTGCACCGTGATGCATTTCGTCTGACCAACAGTTCCAAAACTTCACCCGGCAACAGGTGGACAACATTCTTCTACTAAAACACAAAAAAACAGATACCAAATATTCTCTCAGCAGTGTAGCAGGCACCTCTGCCCTGTGTTAGCAGGCTGTAGTGGCACAAGCTTCTTGCCCCTCCACAACTCAGCTGTGTTACACTGGAAGTAGCAGAACTTGGCTGTGTTCACTCCCAGTCAAGGTCAACTGACTCCAACTAAATTCTTCCCCTCTGAATTAACGTTTGTTCTCTTCGACAAAGATATGCTTGTGCCACTATAGCCTGCTAATATTGGGCAGAGATGTTTGCTACACATTGGGGTGGCAAAAAGATAACCCTAAACAAAGATGCCTCGACACATCAGAAAGTAGCCAAAAGAATGCAATGGCCTGGCCAGTTTCCGATCTTACCTGCCCTGTCCCCAACAACACCCTTCATTCTTATATTTATTTTATTCTTATTACCCCCTTTTTTCTAGTTCTAACAAAAGGCTGAAATGTTAGCTTAAAGCTCCCCTTCACTTCCGTTCTAGGTCTAAAGCCAGCTGACTTCCTGATTCCGTCCCTCATTCCATTCCCCAGCCCAAGCTCCCGCCCCTACCTCTGGCTTAAAAGGTGCTGCTCTGACTCTCAGGCTGGAAGATGCTGAAGTCTCTACTTCAGACCCCCAAGATGCTGCTGTTTATTTGTCTTGCTAATAAATCTGCCTCCAGTTGTCTCCGGGTCTTAAATCAACCTAACAGGCAGTCCTCCTCCTTTTAAAAACATTTTTTAAATTTTTGAGATAGATCTGGAAATATTGGCCAAACGGAGCTCACACGTACAATCCTGCCTTAGGCTCTAGTCATGGGATTACAGGCATTTGCCACCTACCCAGCTTCCCCGCCACACCCCCAACTCAGCGGTTGGAGCCAAGGACCTTCATACTGAAGTACATCACCAGAACTTTTGAAAAAAACATTTATTTTTAGTTTTCCATTTTTCGTTGTTGTTGTTTTGTGTTGTTTTTTGTTTTTTGTTTTTGGTCCCGGGGATGGAACTCGGGACCTTGCACTTGCGAGGCAGGCGGCAGCACCACTGAGCTAAATCCCCGGCCCAAAACGTTTTAAGTGATATTAATTAATATTTTTGATTTGTTTTTGGTACCGGGGATCGAACTCGGGTCCTTGCACTTTAGTCAGGCTTTTTTTTGTACGGGGATCGAACTCAGGACCTTGCGCTTTCGGGGCAGGCGGCGCCACCACTGAGCTAAATCCCCAGCCGTTTAGTTTTCCAATTTTGGGGCAGACTCTTGCTAAGTTGGTCCGACAGGACTCCAACCTGTGATCTTCCTGTCTAAGCCTCCCAAAGTGCTGGGGTTTTGTCCACCACCACACCCGCAAGGAGCTTTTCTCTTAAATAATGCAGGACTAAGGATTCCTCCCCCTGCGAAACAAGGCCTTCGCCCGCATCAGACCCGGAGAAGGGGGTGTCGAAGGCACAGGTTCACGCAGACCTTCAGGCTGACGGCTCCCAGAACTACCTGCGGGAAGCGAGGTCACGCACTGCGAGGTTCTCTCCGTGCTGTGGGGCGCACGTTGGGTCCCCTCAAGGCTCACTTAATCTTACCTTAACACTTGGCAGCGCCTGTGACAGCTCCTTTCACCCTCTTCGGACTGGACACCACCAGCTTCTCGCCTTGCTTAGGATCAAGTCCCTCACAGACCCCACGCACCGCGAGGAGGAAATGAAGGGGCATCACATCCGGGTCACCCCTCTCACTCGGGAACATTCTGTGCCCTCTGCAGGGTGCGCTCTGCGCATGCTCCTGGGCTCCTTACTGAGCTTGCTGCATGCAGGTCTTTACCCAGAGTCTTCGTGATGACTTCTTGGTTTTGGTTTCTTTGTTTGTTTGTTTTTGTTTGTTTGTTTGAGACAGGGTCCCTGTTATGGGTTGTCCCTCCAAAGGCTCATGCCAATGAGGTGGGGCTATTTCGGAGGAGGTGGCTAAATCTAGAGTGTGTGATTGATTTGCGGTGCAATGCTAGGCCCGAGGGCACTGGCATTTAAGGGTGTGAGATTTAAGGGGCAAGAAGATGCTGTTAAGGTCTCTCCGTGCTTCTGCTGTCTTCCACCACCGTGAACTGTTGCCCCTCTGCCATCTGCCAGCCTGCTTTGGAGTCAGCTGATTATGGACTGAAACCTCTACAAACTGCGCGCCAAATAAGCTTTTTCCCCCTTTAACTTTCAGTGTCGGCTATTTTGTCTCAGCAAGGAGAAAGTAACTAAGACAGTCTCGCTATGCAGTTTAGGCTGGCCTTGAATTCACTCTAGCTCAGGGTAGCCTTGAACTCGCAGACATGTGCCACCACGCCCCTCGTGATGACTTCTGTTGGGCCCTGGGCTTTTCTCTTGCTGAGCAGAGTTTGCACTCCCGCCGGTGTTCTCCTCGCTTGACAGCCCTGTAGAGTGAGCAGGTGCTTGTGCTGGGGAGCCCCGCCTGTAGCGTTTTCATGCAAAAAGCAGTGCAAGAATTGGCAACTCTGTATAACTCCTTGAATTCTGCAGTACTGCTTCCTCATCATCATTCATAGTCACCCTCATCTTTGTTCTTTTCTTTTTGATTCAGGGCTTCCTAGAAAATAACACCTCTACCTCCCACGTGCCACCTCTTGAGTCCCTTACTTACAGTAACCACTGCAGAGCTTGGATTGTTTCTCTTCACAGGTTCCAAATGAGATGGGCCATTAGTAGGACTAGAATAGGTCACGGAGTATCAGAGAAAACACACACTGCGATATAATTCCTTCTTTTCATCAGCCAGACTTTGCCTCCTGCTCAACAACTTTTAAAAAACTAATTATTTCCCGGGGCGGGGGCGGGGGGGCGGGGCCAGGAGCTACTAAGGCAGTTGCAGAGCCCCGGGGCCTGCGGGCGCAGGATGTCGTGGCTTCTCGGTTTAAGTCTGCTGTGGCTTGGGCTCCTGTTGGTTCCCTTCTCCTATGAGCTGAACCAAGAGATCAGCAGAGCCAGGAAGCTGTGCGGCAGCCACCCGTTGAAAGAAATAGTAAAACCCTGTGGCAGTGCTGACTGGAGCCAGTTCCAATTTGAAGAAGAAACCTCTTTGGCACAATTGGTTCCCCAGGCCACTCCGAAAGTTGAAGCCCTTGGCCTCGAGCAGTTCAAAAGACCCGAAATGCCTTTCCCGGTGTTGGGAGGAGTCACAAATCCAGCCTCTACTTCTGCCTCTCAGGAAGAAGCAATAAACAGTTGGAAGAGACAGTCATTGCCTGAGTATCAGTATAAAAAGACCAACTTGCTCCTTGATAAGACAAGAAAATTTTCTTCATCACACGATGTCGATCCATACATTCACAAAAGTGTTAAATTTCAGAAGAAAAGTAGAAACAAAATTAATGCTTTAAGCAATACATGTTGGGGGAATCATCCTCAAAGGAAACGCAGAGGACACTCAGATAAATGTTGTCTTAGGGGATGTACAAAAGAAGAACTTGCCATTGCATGTTTTCCATATACTGATTTTTAAAACAATGATAAAAAGGACTATCACTTGTGCTTCAGATATATTAATCATCATAAGAACTATACATACTTAATAAAAGCTCACTTTTAAAAAAAAATTACTTCCAATATGTGAGAGGTAAAGTGTAGTAATTTTGTGATTCTCTCAGTTTTGTTTTGGTTTTTTTTTAGGTTGTCTGACATGGCATAGGCAGATGATTACATTTTCACTGAATATTATTTTTTCATATATAATAATGTATTTTGCTACCCTCATTACTGTTATGCTTTCCAGTCCACCACTGAAGAATGAAGCAGGCTTGGCTTACTTCTTTTTTTCTTGAGGTCTCTTCTGTTTTTGTATCCAAGGAAACTTGCTTGTTAACACGAATGGAGTAGTGCTAAATCATTTATGGTTTTGTTTTCGGCTCGGATGAGTTTACATATGATGCTGACCTCATTTACCTAACTGATACTGAAACTAACCTCCAAATTTAGGTGATCCAGTGATATTTGGAGAATGGCCATGGAGTAGGGCTTCAGTTGACATTTCTCAATTACAGTTTTCTACTTCTAATGATATTTTTAGTTATTTAAATTTGTTAAACATTGATCCATTTCACTTGGGTATTCAAACATATAGGTACGGTACTTATACAAAAACCATTTTATAGGAAATGCAATACATAATAATGTACAAAACAGTAGAAGAAATCCTGTATACTTGACACTCAGCAAATCCGTCTTTAGTTGTTAAAAGGAGAAACTTGGTCAGATAAGTGTTTTCTTATGAACAGGACTGTTCTTTGAGAAAAAGCATTCCAGAGGTAATGCTTCATACTTCTGCTAGATTTGTAACACTGTTTCAGGTAGACAGCTCTCCATGGAAGTGGTAACATACCTTTGACCAACAAGTAGTGTTACTGGAGCCTAGAAGTGGCTTATAGGCCCTGGAACTGCCACTAATTTAATGTGAGGGGAACTGGCTCAAGAGAAGGGTGTAGCAGTTGAAAGCAGAAGTCGCTTGATGCTGAGATGTAAAACACCCTGGGCACTCTGATCCTCCTTCAGTCCTGTCTCTAACTTATGCCTCATTGGGGGGCCTGTTTGCCATCCAAAATTTAGAAATTCAAGGAAACAAGACTCAAACACTGTATCAAAATGGGCAGAGAAAAACAAGGGTGAACAATGGATCTGAGGAAAACCAGGTTCATAACACAGGGAAAGATAAAGTGAGAAAAATCATTCACAGGCTGACAAAAGAATGTGGGTCATAGAAATAACCATCACTTGTTTATGATGGAAAGATGCCTTTTTCAAATTTGATCAAGCATAGCTACACAAATCTTGACTAAAATCATGCACCCTGTGGAAACTTTGATACCTTTTACATCAATTATTGAGAAATAAACATGCAAGCTGAAACTACTAGCTAGTCTACATTTTAAAATGATACTATATAGCATAGTAATGAGAAATGAGATATAAATCATAAAATAAGAAGCAGTGCTGCTATCATTAAACAAGAATAGTGAGCACCCGGAAGGAAGCTCCCCTGCTGCCATCCCAGGCTCCTAGGGCCAAGAAGGTGAGCTGGTCCCAGCACCCAGAAGGAAGCTCCCCCACTGCCATCCCAGGCTCCTAGGGCCAAGAAGGTGAGCTGGTCCCAGCACCCAGAAGGAAGCTCCCCACCTCCATCCCAGGCTCCTAGGGCAGTGAAGCTCAGCTGGTCCCAGCACCCAGAAGGAAGCTCCCCACCTCCATCCCAGGCTCCTAGGGCAGTGAAGCTCAGCCAGTCCCAGCAGCTGGAAGGAAGCTCCCCAACTGC